TGTTATTGTTGTTGTATTATTGTTATTTATAATTTGTACAATTAACCTCCATGTGGTTCGACTCCGGTCTTGCCTGATTATTTATTACTTTGACACTCCTGCACTTGGGAGAAGACATCAATCTTTTGATCGTGTCAGCTACCAAATTTCTTCAGAATTATTAGGCTATTAGAAGTCTTCATGATATTTAATTCATTTCTTTTTTATCTGGTCCTTAACATTTAATAAATCTTTTAGAATTTGTGTTGAAAACTGGCTTTGCTGCTGTCACAACTTTGTTGTAATTTCAAGTTTCTTGATCAAATCAGGAGACTCATATCATCCTTTAGATTGTGTCCGAAGCTTGGCCTTTAAATTTTTTTTATCTAACTTAAAGTACTTCATATAAGTTGTATTTTTGGATGTATAAATGAATTTGAATTTTTGAATCAACTAGCTTTGATTTCTAAAGCTCAAGATATTCTTGTTTGAATATGTAGTATGAAAGTAGAGAATCCTGTTATAAATAAGATTTTGACCTGAACTTATAAGTTTGATTAGAGATCCAAATAAAATCATATTTTTTTCCAAGATATCTTCCTACAAAGTTTAAGTTTAATATGTGTATTTCGATTTGAATTAAATTCACATTCTATTTAGGAACTTTAATTTAATGAAAAAGCTGTTAAGAAGCTAGATCAAAAATATAAAATGCAAAATTTTTTATATTTAGCAATTAATTTATATAGTCTATTAGTCATGCCTAAGTCATAAAAATAACTTTTAATAAACTCAAATAAGTTTAAAATGTATTAAAAAACATAATGTAAAAAAATAAAAACATATATATAATTTACATTTATCAATAGTTCATCACGAACTCCCCATCTCATTGTTTAAAAAGTACAATTCCAAAAATTAATTTTGGCTCCTTGTCTCATTCCATTGTACTACTCTAAGGAAAACCAACTTAGTTTGATGTTTAAGTTCTCTAGTTAATCACATATGATGTTGTTCACATTCTGGAGGAGGCCGCAAGACAAATATTTGTCTGTGAACACATCAGTCCGATAGTTGATGATATACGCAAGACTCGACAAGATAACAAGACAAGACTCTTTAGTTTCTAGTATCGTGTTTGATTAATGTTCCATGACAGAAGGGTCTAGTTTAAAAGAGACAAAAACATATTTAGTTAAAAAATAAAATAAATTAAAATAGTTTTGGAGTGAATTTTCGTGTTTTTAAAATTGGAAACATAAATACACGGAGACATGCTCTCTGAGTTTCCACTACCCAAATCTCTCATATCCCATTGCATAGAGTATTCTTTACCATTTGGAACAGAAACACATCTGTAATGTTCTCCTGCACATTTGTTTTATGAACATAATAATGGACTCGGACGACTTCACTTGAATTTGGGAAGATGAAGCGAGCACTACATCACATGACATGTACACTACAAGAGTAACAAGTGATTATTCCACCTGTTCCGGGGACAATAATACGTGTAACCAACGACACAACACACAAGTTTTTTAAGCTTTTTTTTTATTATTATTATTTAAAAAAAAATTAAAGATATTGGTCTGGAACCATTTTTAAATTTTGAATATTACGTGCAAAAATCCTTAACGTATGACAAGCATGATTGATGTTGAATAGGATGCTCTAACTTCTATGGACAGCTGCTGTGCAGCAGATTTTAAGCAAACGCCTTGCCTTCTTCGTCCAAGCCCACGATGAAGCTAATGGGGATGTTTAAAAATATAGTTGTAATTATTTTTTAAAATATTATTTATATTAAAATAATTATTTTTATTTTTAAAAATATTTTTAATATTAGAAAATTAAAATATTAAAATATTATTAATTTAAAATAAAAATAAAAAAATTATTTTTTTTCAAAAACAATTTTAAAATATAAAGATTATTAACACATCTATGATAGCTTCTGTACACTTTGAGATTCAGGGATTAAGTTTTCCTTCCATAACATAGTAATATTTCAAAAAAAATAAAAAATATAATTTTCTATTCAAACATAATATTTTTCATGAAAAAATAATTTTTCAGTTTTTCAACTTTGTATGATTTAGAAGTTCTCCGTGATTTTTCAATACAAGTTTTTCAAATGAGAAAAAAACCATATATATGCAATACAATTTTCTTATACGCAAGCATTTTTAAAAAATGTAAGATATTAAAATTATTCTTTTTCATTTTTTTATATTTAGTTAGTGACAAAAATTTAATTTTTATTGTAAATATAATATAAATATATTTTGAGTTAACAATATAAATTCTTCATAACAATTTTAGTAAAATAAAATTATTATTCTATAATTAGATTATCCCAAATACAAAATACTAAGATGAAAATTATGATTTATGGTTTTTTATGAGAATAGTTGTGTTCTTAATGGGTTTCTTATTGAAAAATGAACAAAAAAATTGTTTTCATTTTCAATAAATAAATACGTTTTTTAATTCTTTATTGAAAAATAAAAACTACAAAAGAAATGGGAAAAATCGTTTCTGCTATTAAACACACCCTAACATTTTTCTTGATTTCCCCCAACCTAATTAGCCAAACATTTCACATTCAATTATTTAAATTCAATCACCTAACTCTCTGGCTAAGCTAAGGTGCTTAGTATTTCTTAAAAAAAAAAAGACACTTAAAATTGTTTTAATGGACCTATTTGAAAATATAGTTATGATTATTTTTTAAAATATTTTTTTATATAAAAATATATTAAAATAATATTTTTTTTATTTTTAAAATTTTATTTATAAGATTAGTATATTAAAACAATTCAAAATATATAAAAAAATTAAATTTTTTTAGAAACATGGTGCAACACTTTTATTGGACACATTATTTTTGGAAGTTTTAAGAGATATTTATCCAAAATCTTAAAGGAAATAAGTATATATCATTCAAAGATTGTAAATGACTTAGAAAATCAAGAATTTTTGAATTTTTATTTCCATTTTTCCTAATTACCTCATCTCTTTTTCAAAAAGAATTCAACTAACTCTATGGATTTTCTCTGAATTACCATATTAATAATAAAACAATTATAGGATTTCACATGATTCAAAATCTAATCAATACCCATAATTGATATATATTTAATGTCATCGGGAAAAAAATAATTAATTATACACAAGAATTATCATTAATGCATATAATATACAAAAAAATCTAATCTAAAAAGAATAAAAAAAAAATTGCACCAAGATTTGTTTGATAATATCGATTTATCTTAACAACCACTTTAAACACCAATGCTAATTATCTAAATAAAAAAAATAACAGCAAAGCTTATTACTATTTTTTTTCCCATAAATAAAAGAATAAGAGAAAAAAAAATCAAATTCACTTAAAAAACAAAAACTAAAAATATGGCAAGTATGTGTTTTCATTCAATAGCCTTTCTTTCCCCTACCTTTCTCACTTGTTTTGTCCCAATGGGTCACCACCACCCTTTCCTCTTCTCCCTCCTCCTCCTCCTCCTCCTCCTCCTCCCCACCGCCACAGCCGACGACGGCGCCACCATTCTTAAGCTGGCCAACTCTATAACCCCATTACCCTCCGGCTGGTCCGCAAAATCCTCCACCACTTTTTGTTCCTGGCATGGTATAAACTGTGATTCTTCCAAATCAAGAGTCACGTCCATTTCTCTCTCAAAACTCAGCCTCTCAGGCACTCTTCCTCCAGAAATATCTACCCTTTCTGAACTACAATCTCTGTCTGTACAGGGAAACCAGCTTTCTGGGGATCTCCCATCCCTCGCGAACTTAACGAATTTGCAATACATTTTCTTGGATTCCAACAATTTCACGTCCATCCCTCCTGGTTTTTTTCAAGGATTAACGGGTTTGCAAACGTTAAGTATTGGAAATAATGTTAATTTGTCTCCGTGGCAGCTTCCAACTGATTTAGCTCAATGTACTAGTCTGACAACGTTAACAGCCAATGATTGTCAACTTTTTGGTTCTATTCCTGATGTTTTTGGGTCGTTACCAAGTTTGCAGAATTTGAGACTGAGTTATAATAATTTGACGGGGGTTTTGCCACCTTCTTTTGCGAATTCTGGGATACAGAATTTGTGGTTGAATAATCAGCAAATTGGGTTAACTGGGAGTATTGAGGTGATTGGATCGATAACTCAGTTGTCTCAGGTTTGGCTTCATATGAATCAGTTTACGGGTCCTATACCAGATTTGACAGAATGTAAGAGCATTTTTGATTTGCAGTTGAGGGATAATCAGTTTACAGGGATTGTGCCTGCGTCGTTGGTTTCTTTGCCGAATTTAGTGAATGTTTCTTTGTCTAATAACAAATTCCAAGGACCTGTGCCTCAGTTTCCCCCGTCTGTTATCACTGTTAAAAATGAAGGGATTAACAAATACTGTGCAGGTCCTGGGGTTCCTTGTGACGCTCTGGTGATGACATTGCTCGAGATTGCTGGGGGATTTGGGTATCCGTCGACATTGTCTGATAAGTGGGACGGTAATGATGCTTGTGGTTGGCCCCTTGTTACTTGTGACGTTGGGAAGAAGAACGTTGTTACTGTGAATTTGGCAAAGCAGCAATTTACGGGGAGTATCTCTCCATCATTTGCCAAGCTCTCTTCTTTGAAAAGTTTGTATCTCAATGAGAATAACTTGACGGGTTCAATTCCTGGTAGCTTGACCAAGCTGCCAGAGCTAGAAACCCTTGACGTTTCCAACAATAACCTATCAGGAAAAATTCCCGAGTTTCCAGGCTCTGTGAAATTAATTACAAAGCCGGGGAACCCATTCTTAAGGACAGATGTAGATACTTCCAGTGGAGGAACTACCAATGGCACTTCCAATGGAGGAACTACCAGTGGAGGAAGCAGTGCAGGTAGTACCAAGATACCTGGTGGTGTGATTGCAGGCATCATTGTTGCTGGTGTCATCTTTATTGTTGTCCTGTCATTTGTCTTTTATAAATATAAGAAACGAGATCCCAAATCTGGGAAGGAGTTGAAATGGGATGGTGGAAAGGCATTTTTCAAAAATGAAGTTGCAGGTGGAGGGAATGGTTATAATAAGGTCCCTATTGCATTGCATAGCCAGAGCAGTGATGGTGATAACAGCAAAAATATTTTTGAGGGTGGGAATGTTGCTGTGCCCATTGAATTTCTTCGACAAGTGACTGATAATTTTCATGAGATCAATATTATAGGAAGAGGTGGTTTTGGAGTGGTTTATAGAGGAGAGTTGCATGATGGAACTAAGATTGCTGTGAAGAGAATGGAATCCACAGTGATGGGAAACAAAGGTATGAGTGAGTTTCAAGCAGAGATTGCGGTGCTTACAAAGGTTAGGCATAGACATCTAGTTGCTCTCTTAGGTTATTGTATAAATAGCAACGAGAGACTCTTGGTCTATGAGTATATGCCACAAGGAACACTAGGACAGCATCTATTTGAATGTCACGATTACAGGTACACTCCACTTACATGGAAGCAGCGGATCACAATTGCACTGGATGTGGCAAGAGGAGTTGAGTATCTGCACGGTTTAGCACAGCAGAGTTTCATTCACAGAGATTTGAAAACTTCAAACATTCTTCTTGGGGACGACATGAGAGCCAAAGTGGCAGATTTTGGTTTGGTTAAAAATGCACCAGATGGGAAGTATTCTGTGGAAACACGATTGGCAGGCACATTTGGTTATCTTGCACCTGAGTATGCTGGTAATTGGCTTGGCCCTTTTCGTGTATTCTCAACTTTGTTGAAGGGATTTCTCCAGTTGCATGTTCTTCTTAACAATGATTTAGCAGTATGAAGATTGGAATGTCAATAGGTTCACATTTTTTGTTATGTTTCTCACATGGTCATTTCATCTTAGCATCTATTTTGTGTGGTGTCAATTGAGTTTTTTCATTGCAACATTTTAGAAATAGCCATATTTTTTGCTGTCCTGTAAATGCTTCAGGTTATTGGCTGCTGATATTGATCGTAAATTTCTCTTGATTTTGATGAACTGAATTGGTTGATGGTTAAGTTTAGTGAGGGTTGACTTCTTACAAGGGTCAATTTATCTACGAACAATTTCTGTTGTTTGCGTTCTTATTGGGTGCATGTGTGCAATTATGTTTGCTGCAAGCATGTTTTCAAAGACATCTCTATGTGAAATTGCGTTTAATTCTCAGATTCTGCACGCACTTTCCTTTAGTCTGTGATGAAATTATTTGGAAACCAGTTCCCTTTGTTTGCGGATGATCTGAATCTGAATTGGGTCTTCTTTGGTTTTTTTCAGCTACTGGAAGAGTGACTTCAAAGGTGGATGTTTATGCCTTTGGAGTTGTTCTGATGGAGATTATAACTGGCAGAAAAGCAGTGGATGACACTAGGCCAGAAGAGGCAGCTCATCTGGTCACATGGTTCCGCAGGATCCTGATCAACAAGGAGAACATTCCAAAGGCAATTGATGAGTCTCTAAAACCAGATGAAGAGACATTAGCCACCATTTATACGGTGACTGAGTTAGCAGGACATTGCACTGCTCGTGATCCATATCAGAGACCAGACATGGGGCATGCAGTGAATGTATTGGCACCTCTTGTAAAGCAATGGAGGCCGACTAGCCAACAAGAGGACCAGAACTGTGGCACCGACCTTGACACCAACCTTCCTGAAACACTGCGAAGATGGCAAACTGAAGAAGGTACTTCTACGATGTCTGATGATACTTCCTTCACTCAGACCAGGTCAAGTGTTCCCTCAATGACCTCTGGCTTTTCAGACACATTTACTTCAAATGATTGTCGGTGACAAAAGGAGATTAAAATACTTTTGAAGAGGTAAGGTAGAAAGGTGGAGATTTGTATCCTTCTCCACTGGCTGGATTGCCACTAGTGATTACCAAACTATACCAAGGCTTCATTGTATTTATTTATTTTTGTTATTTTAATTGGTCCAAAGCTGAACATTAGAGCTATTTAGTTTTTTTTTCTCTCTACTGTAGTCGTTGAGGCTACTGATTGATTTAGCTACCCTGGAGTCAAATCAGAAACGGGGAGAAAAGGTGGTGGTAATATATTTCAGGCTCTATTTTCTTCTTATCGTTCATTATTATTGTTATTGTTATTGTATATATTGCTTTCAGTGCTGATTGCTGTGAGGAGATTTTTAGCTTTTTATTTAATTCGTTGCTTTCCTTTATTAAATTATCAATAAAAAACTAAAAATATGAAAACGCTATATATTCACTCACATAGTTTTGTGGATTTCAATATTAATTTCCTTTTTTTTTGTGGGTCTTGGAAGCATTTTTTGATCTGTTGGTTGCCGAGCCGAATTTTTTTATATATATTATATCATAAAAATTGAATTTAATAATTTATTTTATTTTATTTTTATGAAGTTATTCTTGAAAAAAAAATAAACTATATTGGATTAATGCCTGATTTTATTGTTCTTAAAAAATTAAAAATTATAAGGATTAAATTTGACAATTAGACAAAAATACAGGATTTTTTTGTAATACTGTTCATGAATCATCTTTTTCAAAAAAAATCTAATCTCCAAATTTTAACTTTTTTTTTTACTCTTTAGTTTGAAGCTTTTTATTTTGATTAAAAAGTTTATTTTTGTTCATATTTCAATTCCTAAGTTAGAAGATAAAAGAAAATTATCAAAAAACATCAAAGGAGAAAGAAAATGGTTAGTTGACCAATATCTGTAATAAAAAATTCAAATTTCATGTCAATGTATTTCTTTTGATGAGATGAGTATTATTAACATGTATTAACATGTTTTTTTGAGCTCCATGTTATTTGAAGAAGCAGGTTGAAATTTTTTATTTTTTATTTTTTTATATTTTTGAGCTAATTTAGAAATATTTCAAGTTGAGAAATTACTTTTTTAAGATCCCAAGAGTGTTTTTCAATGAAAATGAGTTTACAAAAACTAGGTTTTTAGATCCAAAACACCTTAGCTTGATTTTCAGGCTATCTCTTTAGTACTAGAATATTAAAAATCATGTGACATATCATCTATTTTATTTTTTTAAAAAAATAATGGATGGCATTAATTTTTTTGAAAAAAAAAAAAGCTAGACACGCGAGCCTCATTTATATGACTAGGTGCCTAAACCTTTTTTATAAAAAAATTTCAATATTTTATTTTAGATTTTGATTGAAATGCATTATAAATCATGTTAAATTATTTTGCAATTTTGATATGGTTTTTAAATAATATTATGGGTTTTTATAGGAATGTTAATAATTTCTTATTCAATTATTTTGTACCTAACATGCCAAAAAAAACCAACTCTTGAATTTTCAATGAAAATAAAATTTCTTATCTTTAATTTTTAGTAGATTTTTGACAAGATTTTATTATATTTTTTTCTTCAATCACATATAAAATATTGAAATATTATTTTAATATATTTTATGGGGATGAGTTTTTTTAGTTGAAAATTCTATTTTATAACCCATTTTCACTCCAAAATACCATAAACTCCTCTCCAACACATCTTATACCCCTAAAATTACCAAAATAAACAAATTGACCGAATGAGAAATATATAAACCAAGCCTAACCTCTTTTCTCATGGATGTTTAAAAAAAACAATTATTATTAAACTTCTTCTCGTTAAATGGAACTTGTTAATATAAAGAGCCACGAATTTCTATACCAAAAAGTTATGGAATTGATAGGTTTTTCTTTCCTGGCCTTTTTAGATGACTTTCACCCTTGTCTCAAAGTCAATGACTAAAAAATAAATAAAATAAATTTTTGAATCAAAACAAAATTTATCACAAGTTTGACGGGAGATATGTAATTTCTTCTTGCTATACTTTTCAATCATTCTTCTTTTAGTTTTGTATTTTTATGACAATTGGAATCTACTCTCATTGAATTAGGAATCAAAATATGATGGTTCATTGTCTACATAAACCCCAGTCATTTGTTAATTTCAGAGCTCTATTCAATTTCGATTTCTTTGTTTTGGATTGGCTGCTTAGGCCATTCTTTTTTTAGCCTTTATGGTTCAATACCCAGTTTCATTTTACTTGGTGTCTTCATTTCCAATCATTATTTTTGTTGAATGGTTTTGCTCAATTTCTCTCGAGGTCACAGAAAACCATGTCATAGGTTTCCCTGATCAGAGAGCTTTTGACTAGGTTCCAGAGCACATGAAAGTTTCAGCTGTGATAAAACCATATCTCAAGACGGTTCTGTTAACTTTCTCATTAAATTGTCATACAAATGTACACATCTAACAAGGTTGTGTGAGATTACAACAAAAAATTGTTTGACATCTTCCCCTCCCTCCACCACTGGATTCTTACGGTACTTTCCCGGAGAGACCCTCAATCAGTGGATGTCTAACCACCAAGGGGGCGGGGTGGGATGGGGTGGGGCGGATTCTAACAGTACACAATGACTAATAGAAAAGGAAATGGTGGGGAAACGGGGTAAGAGAACAATAAATGAAAGCGTTTATTATTGGCAATCACTGTTATAAAATATAGAACCACACTCAACAAAACTTCCATGGAAAAATTCATACCCAGCTTGCTTTCTGTAAATAAATAAGAGTGAGTTGCTGATCCCAGAAACACATATCAAGCATGACACTGATTTTCTTTACTTTGAATCTGATTCTGTCCTTGCAGGCGCCTATCAAAACTTGTAAAATCAACTGTAGATGCCAGAATTATGAAGACATTTTTACTTGAATTTGCCGATGGACCTGCACTAGAAATTCTACATAGGAGAGAGCGCCAGCTGGAACCTTATCTTCAACCAAATATGAGAAGAATGACATTCCTGTGGAAAAAGTAGCAGTCGAATTTCAACAAATCAAACTAGTTAAGAACATTTTAACAATAAAAACTCCCTCCATCCAGTAGTATCGGCAGAAGAAAACTCAACACCAGACAAAGATGAGAACAGTGCGTGTATTTATGAAGCACAATTTGATTGTATGAACATAGATATTACCACGATGCATTTACAGATCAAAATTATCATTGGGCCCTCTTTGGTAGTGGCTAGTGGTTTTTCTGACTATGTATAGTGCTGTGATCAGTCATCATGAAGTTTATAATGATGATATATCGATACCAAAACAATACATGATCAGTCAAAACATGACTTCAACATGAGAATTGATACGAGTAGCAGTATTGTATGGCCCATTAAGTGAAGGAGGGTGGTGCTGGCAAACTAACACTTCTGTTCTGTGTTTCCATGAAATGACCCAATGCAGTTCCTAACTAGTCACACATTTCCAAATAACCTGATAAGTAATGAAGTATCAGAAATGGCCAACAAGTCCTGCAACTACTTTCGCAGGGGTACAAGATAATGTGAGAGTTTTTCGAGGAGCAAGTAATCTGTTTCATTATGGTTTTGGGTTTACAATATGTAGTGGAATTACAGTTCCCTCCATTATATAGAAGAACAGGTCCAATGAACTCACCTGATGGATCTCCTTTTTTACACAACTTTAAACTGCAAGGTAAGAATTGCAAGACATCAGAATGAGAGATTGCAAGCATGTGTAGATAGAATGACAGAAAAAAATAGTAGGTGAATATAAGTCATAAAAAAATTCTTATATTAAAAATCACCAACTGAAACATCATACCGCAGGAAAGAACATCTTTGGCGTCGTATCTCGTTCATCACATCATTTAGTTTCTTTGATAGTGGATTGTCATATTGCTCCAGGACATACTGAGAATACCAAAATAATTAGTTGCAAAACAATTGAATGGCTACGCAAATAGAAAATTTCTAATAAAACACCTTTGACAGGTCCAGGTATTTACAATGTTAATTATCAAATTAACTCAAATCCCCAAAAAACCTTAAAAGAGTTTGAGCATTATTATCTCCAAAAGTTTCATTCATAAAATTCCCAACTGGGCCTGTGAATTAGTAGTGTCTTGTAAGCCCATTCTGTGGGCACATAGCATACGAGGTTATGTCCCTTGAGTGAATTTGGCATCTTCCACATTGGTCTGATGGTCAGGTACAGCTTCTTCCAAACCAACACTAATAAAATAATGATGTTAAGCAGATCTAAATTCTTTAAAAGAATGGTACCTGAGTTGGAATTTCAGCAACAGATGAAATGCCAAACAGTTTTTGCAAGATATCTGGATTAACCGAGTTCCCAATATATATTGAAACATCAAGACCATTCTCAAGAAGATAAACTCCATTGTCATTCACATATTCACTAGAAAGAGGAAGTGCAGGGGGGATAAGAGATCCAATTGCTTCCTGTCAATGAGCAGCAGGTTACCATTGAATATAGGACAAATATATAATATAGCATTGAAAATAGTAAAAGACAACCCATGCCTGTGAATCAAGGTCGTGGATTGCAATCATCCTAGGGTGCACCAATGGAATCGCTAAAGGAGTAGAAACAGAAGAAACATAATTGATCCAAAAAGACCGATCATCTATCCTCCCATCGAGTTTCAATCCTGTACTTTTAATTAATGCTGGAAGAGATAGAGGGAGCCAGAAAAGGGGGAAAAAAATCACAGCATGTCAATTTCTTTAAACATACTAAAAGAAACTTGCTGATACACTAGCATCCATTTCAAATCTGTCCAGTAAACAATACACATATTGCAGAAAAAAACAGAATTATAGCATCAACAAGAGGAAATATCATTATGCACCAAAATGAAGAACAGCACCAACAAATCAATGTTTTAACTAAAGCTATTTCTACCAAAGAAAAAAAAAATGTAAAGCTACAGAAACACTGAAAAGGAAAGGTGTAACTTCATTGAACTAATTTACTTATCTAACTAGCTTTACTTCAACTATATAAAGTTATTTTGCTCTTCAATGCTTTAACCATATTAACTCCCAGAAAAGAAATTCTGCTAGACACCCAAGTGTACATGGATCATGTACAGGTATTTAACTGTTGAAACAGTTCCACAGCATAAAACATGATTAATTGTTAGGTGAGTTCATAGCAACATCTGCAATTTCAGCATAAACACTATATCGGAATGAGCATAAATTAATGCAAGAGAAGTATATACCGAGGGTGTACAAGGGCAGAAGT